AGTAGCTGACCGTCCTCGGCGCCTCACTCCTCACCGACCCTGAGAAGGTTCAATATACTTCATATTACACTCAGCACTCATAGCTTGGATTGCAAGTCTGTCACTCGTAGCCTAACGTGTGCAAATCTGTCACTCGTAGCCTAATATGTGCAAATCTGTCACTCGTAGCCTAATATGTGCAAGTCTGTCACTCGTAGCCTAATATGTGCAAGTCTGTCACTCGTAGCCTAATATGTGCAAGTCTGTCACTCGTAGCCTAATATGTGCAAGTCTGTCACTCGTAGCCTAATATGTGCAAGTCTGTCACTCGTAGCCTAATATGTGCAAGTCTGTCACTCGTAGCCTAATGATACTGAGATGTATGAGGTGGCAGTTCCATAATGTAGCTCATTAAACTCATTATTTATAAGAAGATTATTTATTGAAATACACACAATCAAAGGAAGAATATTGTTACAAATGGATGAACTAGGATATTTTGGCTCTCATCTTCAGGAATCTCTTTTTTTTTTACCATTATCTATATTTATAAATGATAATTCTATCTCTGCCTGAGCTTGGAGGCCAGACGCTTGAGACCGGCCTCGTCCAACTTTGCAGGGTGACTGGTCTTAGTTCAGGGATAGTCATAGGTGGGTCGGGGTCAGCCCCATTGTCCCTTTAATAAGATCGATTCCTATTCCGACTTCCGGTGGCTCCTGTGATGTTTAAAAAGGGGGTTTGGGTTTTCACCAATGCTTTAGCTGTTAACCCACAACCCACAACGTTGTTACAATCTCATGGTAGGGGCAAGGTGAGGGTGTTGACAATTATGATAGGGCAAGATGTTGGTGTTGATAGTTGTGTTAGGGTAAGATTGTAGGGTAGACAGTCATGGGTGGAATACTTACGCCTGATGCGAATAGCGCCGGAGTCATGGATGAGGTTGTGGGAGTACTCCTGAAGAAGAAACACGAGAGCACATTAACCATCCAACATACTCCATCATAAAATAGCAATATCAACATAACTGAATTACTAAACTAAGTACACCTGCTTGACAAAGCTGTACTACAACATGTCAGTAAAGGTGACAATGTACTCCATAGTTATAAGGGTCACCCAAGCCGTCCAGGCTTAGGGTTGGATCCCTTGGTAGTGGCCTGTTGTAGTTCAAGTACGTTTATTGAGACATTAAAATACATCTCAAAGGGATAGAGTAGCTTAGGCTATGTCTACCCTCCTATTAGTGGCCTATTACGTGTGACCAGAGCACATGTTTATGTCAATATATTTAAAAGAGGAAAACTGTTTAAATTATATTGAAATGCGGTATAACGTTTAGCTTTATATATAAAAACTATGCAAAACTGACTTACCAGTGGAAACAATGTGTCAAAAGTACTGGGGGTGGGAACAACCATTATGTCTGCCAGAGCTCTCGCGGAAACTACAGCAAACAGGACCTTGTTATCTTGAGCACGGAAGATGACCTACAAACGTCAGTAATATATGACAACTATATCACGCTTTTTATTATTCTACTGCAGCTCTGAGTCGATAGCCTAATTAATTCTCTCAAATATGTGTTTATGCGATATTTCTTGAGCGCCAGATGGCGGGTGCTAAAGCTGTAGGAGGATGAGCTGGGCGTCAGTCTTGTGTAATGTTGATCTCTTCTTATGTTCTGTTTGATGTGCTTTGGCTGTTGTGGTTCTTAAGACTGTGGCGACGACAACACGCGCTACCTTTTATATACGAGGCTACCTCAGCCAGATGGAGGATGCCGGGTGTCCGGTTTAAAAAAGTCTCCGCATGTCTTTCCGGTAAAGTATTTTGGATAAAACTGAGCATATGTCGGTTTACTTTAGTGCACTTTAAGTTTGCATAGCGCATTATACAATAAAGACATTTAAGTAATTTATGATCTTTTGAAAGTACATAACAAATTTTGATTCATGATCTCTGTGGCCTCCACGAGGACAAGAAGTCGCCGGCTTGTCGAAGGTCGCTACAATTTGTCCTGATGATTTTGTCGAGCTGGATTTTGAAATGCAACATTGAAATTGAAATTGAAATAAGTTTATTGAGGTAAAATACACACAAAGGGATGAGGTAGCTCAAGCTATTCTCACCCCGTTCAGTACATCGTGTTAATACATACATAGACACACATCACAAACAATAAACATATTACCAAAAAATGCAACATTGTTTTGATATTTACGGCTTTAGTGGGCAGGTGATTCCAATGGTTTATAACCCAATAAGTGAAAAAGCTTCTCCTATTTCCTGTCCTACATTGTTGTTTGTTGAGCTTGACACCATTGCTCCTTGCTTTGTGGCTTTGATACCAGGTGTGGAAACATTTGTGTCTTACCACAGTGATGGGTCGTTCAAAGTCGTGAAGAGGAAACAGAATCTGTCCAACAAGGATTGACAACTGTACTGTATGGTGTTTCCAGAACTGTGGAGGATTCAGGTGGTGGGTACTTGGCTAATGCAAAATTGTATACGTTCAACCGGGAAGATGCTGGTACAATTACAGGAAGATGAGCGTGAAGAGGCTTGGCAGTTGCTTAACGAGGGTGTCTGACGACTGTACAGAAGGAAGTGGATATACTTTCAGGAAATATAAATGTTTATCTTTCAGAATGTTTGGTAATATGTTTATTGTTTGTGATGTGTTTATATGCATGTATTAACACGATGTACTGAACGGGGTGAGAATAGCTTGAGCTACCTCATCCCTTTGTGTGTATTTTACCTCAATAAACTTATTTCAATTTCAATGGATATACTTTTTTTTATTATTATTATTTTCTACCACAGACGTGGCCACACATTTACAATGCTAACCAGCATATATACATTTTCCATACTGCTGCATCACGGTCTCATTCACCCGGGAAAGTGTTCACGGTAATCCAAAAATGAACATTATTAATGCAGCACATGCAGCAGTATAGAACACTATGTAACATGGGCTGTATTTATTACTACATCGACTACTGCTGTAAAACTGATTTCTGATTTATTGTAAGTTATGAACTGGTTTGTATAGCAAGTTTAAATAAAATACAAAACACCTTTATGGTGTTACATAGTCCCCGGAGTCACCTCAAAGTTACCACCTGTAATAACTACCTACGGGCTCACCATAGCCCGTGTTACTTGGAACTTTTTGTTCCAGGTAGCGAATCTTTCGTTCCTTTCGTTTCGTTTCGAATCTTTCGTTCCAGGTAGCGAAAGCGAAATAACAACAACATACCACCTGTCTCGGGTGCATAATAAATGAACTAACCTGATTGATGATTGATGAAGATTAAGCCACCCAAGAGGTGGCGCGGGCATGAATAGCCCGTAAGAACTAACCTGTTTAACAGGAGTCATTAGCGTGACCTTTTCCTAGTGTTCTGGGGATAACCCGAACTACCTGTTAGTTATGGCCCACGTCGGCCAGACGTCCCCGTGATCTCCTGTAAGTCACTTACCAGGAAAACTAACGTTTTTGTCCTTACTGACGTTGATCTTCCTAGTATGGCGTTTTTCGGCGCGTTCTTTCCTTGGCTTTTATTTAAACTAAAGACTGGGTTTAGTTGTCTTTTTTATTGATGACGCTGTATGATGACTGCGTTCTCTGGGCAAGTTGTCTCATGTCATCTCTGTGTCTCTCTCTTTCTTTATCTCTGTCTGTCTGTCTCTCTGTCTCTGAGTGTCTGTCTCGCTGTCTCTATCTCCGGCAGGAAGCTTCTGTTGACGTCAGCCATAACTGGAGGTAAACACCCTTTCCTTCTATACTAAACTGCCCCCCCCCCCCACCCCTGGGATTGTCCGACCCGCACCCTTAAGAGCCTCAATCCTTTGACCTTGTTACCAGCTCCGTCTACTACCTCAATCACTTTAATGCCCTAATCCCACCCTCTATAGTATACATTCCCAATCCCCCCTAACAGATTCCCGTCCTCTACTACCTCTTAAACTTTTCCAATTCTCTTTTATTAGCTCTATGGTCTTTATGCTTGGCCGTATCTTAGAGAAACGTACTTCGGAAAGCCAGGATAAGCGCCGTTGGTTCTGGCCAGCAACTGGATTGGTCACCGCGTGGACAAAACCGGGATCAATTTTAGGACAAAATTTCTGTCCATTGTGGCAACTCGCGAGGAATGTTGCCACCGGAGGGGGCTAGTTAATTGTGCACCCCATACTTATCCTGTGAGCGGTAGCGCAAAATAAGGATTACAGAGGGCACAAAAGGTCTTTATGAGATCTCAACGGAGATTATTACTAAAACAATTTCATCTATTCTTCACATCTGATAATTATAATGTCAACTAGTTACAGAGAATGTTCTGTTTCAAAAGCTATGTATTTATAGTTAATCATTATACGTTGATGGTAGGTTTTATCGCTAATACATAATTGTTTGAGCTATGGAGATATTACTAGGTCATAGGGAGCTGCTGTTTGTTAATATTAGTCTTGCTACATTAAGAATCACTACTTGATTCTTAATCTCATATGTCGTTTATCTACTGGGAGCGAAATATGAAGATTTCGGGTATTTTATCCTTAGTAATAAGATAGGTTGTCATATAATACAGAGTGAGTTTAGATTTATCTCTAAATGGCTCAGTTTTACTACAATCCAAGATATAGTGTTCGAGTGTGTGTCCCTGTCTTTGTCCACACACTTTACGCTTTACTTCATCTAGATCCCTATACAAGCCGAACTGCCAGAGATACTTGTAGCCAAGTCTTATTCGAGCTGTGACAACATCTGTTAGTCTACTGACTTTGTTACTTGCCCCATACACATGTTTTACTTCACACATTTCATTGTGATAAACAATGGACCTGCTAGTTCCAGTTTGCACTGTTCTACTTTCTTCAAATTCATCCACTCAAGATTCCGTTTAATACTGTCTTTATTTACTGCAGCCTTAGCAAGGGCGTCAACTTTATCATGTTCCAGCAGGCCAATGTGAGAAGGAATCCACAACATTTTTATATTTATCCCCTTATTATCTATGCTTATATATCTAGGGTCGGCTTCGGAGACAAGCATGTTATTACTTGATTGTAAACTATTTAATGCTAGTAGTGAGGAAAGGGAATCGGAAATAATTAGGCTCTCTACTTCAGTGTTGTCAATTTTGAGTGCTACCAGTAGTGCTACCAATTCAAGTTGCATTGTGGTGGGCGGGTTCCTGTCCTGGGCAGTGCACCTGTTCTCGTCTACCCGTCTGACTACACAAGCTCTCACAACACCTGTTTCTTTATATAAACTTACATTTGTCTCTACGTAAACTTACAACACATGTGTATATTTATATAAACACACAACACGTGTGCATCTACATCAATTTACAACTGCTGTTTAAAAAACAGCAGTTGTCTACACAACGTGTTGATGTAGACACTTGTCTACAGCCTGACGGCTGAGTGGACAGCGCTCGGGATTCGTAGTCCTAAGGTTCCGGGTTCGAACCCCGGTGGAGGCGGAAACAAATGGCAGAGTTTCTTTCACTCTGATGCTTCCAGTAAATAGGTACCTGGGAGTTAGACAGCTGCCACGGGCTGCTTCCATGGGGTGTGTAACAAAAAGGAGGCCTGGTTGAGGACCGGGCCGCGGGGACGCTAAGCCCCGAAATCATCTCAAGATAACCTCAAGATACATCAACTGTGTCTGAGGTGCCGGGAGCCACTGGAGCTCTACCAGAAGAACATAAGAACAAAGGTAACTGCAGAAGGCCTATTGGCCCACACGAGGCAGCTCCTATCTATAACCACCCAATCCCACTCATAAACATGTCCAACCTGCGCTTGAAACTATCGAGGGACCCCCACCTCGAGGAGGAAGGAGGAGCTTCGTTATATTCAACACAGGACATTTGTTATGTGATCTGTCTTTTATAATATATCGCATAATGTCGGTAAATTGTAAACAATTTTATGTTTCAATTGTTTGCATTTACCTAGACGATTTTTCTTCACAGTTTATAATTTTATTTAGTCGTTTTGACTACCATTGTTGCCATTGATATTACACAGTGGTTCACCTATATATGACACCATTTAAAATGTAAACTACTTGTTTAATTTGTCTGAAAGTGTAAGTTTAATTTACTCTGCTGCACACCTGTTCAGTAAAAACTGTGTAAAAGACACATCGAAAACTGTTTATGTAGGGCAGACGTAAATCTGTGTATCTATGTATTTATGTTTGTAGATTAGATTAGCATTTTAAAAGCACTACAATCACCTTCTGTGGTTGATTGCTCAATAAATCCCTAAACTATATGTTTAACAGTTCTCTAACCCTGTCCATGGAGGACAGAAGAAAATGTATATATGCTGGTTAGCATTGTTAATGTGTGGCCACGTCTGTGGTAGAAATGTGTGGCCATGTCTGCATGTGGCTCTATATAATCTGGTAAAACACATGTGGCTCTAAATAGCCTAATACACAACACCTGGCTCTAGTCAAAAAACCACATGTAGCTCTAAAAATAAAGCGTACACCAGCATAAGGGAAAAAAAATAATTCATCATATAAAAAATTATTTATTATCATAAAATATGAAATTAAATTATAGAATATTGTGAAGATCTGAGACATCCAGCGCCTCGACGACACACTATAATTATATAATTCTTAAATATATAATTTTTTAATAATAATTTAAACAAATAAATTACAAAATATACACTATTGTGTTAAGCGTATTTTAAAATGTTGTGCATATGTAGTTCAATTATTTTATATATTGACAGTAACTGTCATGAGTATTCATCAGGCAGGAGATCGACTGTTTGCCACTGTCAAGAGCTGACGTTGGGTGCTTCAGGACTGACAGTCTGCCATGTGTCAGCAGCTGACGTAGGACGCCTCAGGAGTGACTGCACTGGAAACTTTCGAACAACATGTGATCAGAGAAGCCGCCCGAGTGACTGACCAGAGACACAGAATCGTATGTTGCTGACAGAAACAGTCCTGTAGAACAGATAATAAGCATTAGATCCATGTTTTCTTACACTAATGATGGACACATCATTGTACTTCGTCTCTAATGAATTACAAAACTACCCGGCTAAGCCTTTAGTAGAACAACGGTATTACTGTTAAACTTAAGATATTTATATTCAATATTTGTCGTCTCTTTTCTAAGATATTGTTATCAATGACCCGAGTAACAACTTGGTTTGTATTACGTCTTAAGGTGTCTAAGAATCTGGTCATAACTACAAAGAATGAATGTTCTATTGACTTTAAACTTCACATTGCAGTAGGTTACCTGTGTGTATGTGCTTGATCTTGGAGTAGCGGTCCCCAGCATCGTTGTACAGGAGGAAGAACCTGTCATCTGTGCTTGTGACCTCCTGCAGGTCCTCGCTCGATCCTTGCTGTAACACAAACCACTCAACATTATTCTCCAATATTAACCAATATTTATGTTAACCTCTTATGAACCTACATTATTTTTTGCACCCACAGACGCCAGTCGCAGTCGAACGGTTAATTGTGATTATTATAAATCATTTTGGATAAAGTGGTGAGAAGTCTATATCGTGGGAGACAATGTAATAGGAAAAATGGCATCAAATATTTACCCTGAGGGAGAGGCTGCCGGAGGCATCACCGTGGAGGAAGTGGCTACCATCATGGGTCTGGAACACCACCACCTGCCCACCTTCAGGGTACGGCGTCAGCACGTCAAACGTGTGTAGCTGGAAACACGCTGTAAGAGACACACAAGTTACAAATGTGATGGTGTTTTAGAATTAATTAAAGTTTAATAGCCTAGTACTAAACAACATAATTCCTCGCCTCTTCATGTACAGTGGCGTTTATCTGAGAATATGATTGATCATAATCAATCATTAAATCTGATACTTAGGACTATGTATATCTGTTTTGTGCTACAATACAATCTGTATATCTGTTTTGTGCTACAATACAATCTGTATATCTGTTTTGTGCTACAATACAATCTGTATATCTGTTTTGTGCTACAATACAATCTGTATATCTGTTTTGTGCTACAATACAATCTATATATACGTTTTGTGCTACAATTGTGCACATATTTACACAACCTGAATTAACGTCCAAAATGTATATGCTGTGAAAACATCATTTCATATTCTAAAGTCAATAGATGACTCTTGATCTTACCTGCAGCGGATTGCTGACTCTGAGGCCCAACGATAAGGTCATTGGCAGGAGAGACCTGCAGGTAGTCGGCCGTGTCTCCCTTGACCTTGATCTTCTTGTTGACCTGTGAGGAGTAGCTGACCGTCCTCGGCGCCTCACTCCTCACCGACCCTGAGAAGGTTAAATATACTTCATATTACACTCAGCACTCGTAGCTTGGATTGCAAGTCTGTCACTCGTAGCCTAACGTGTGCAATTCTGTTACTGGTAGCCTAATATGAGCATGTCTGTCATTCGTAGTCTAATTTATATAAGAATTTAAGATTTAAAACATATGATGAAATGAACAAATATACATTGTGATGACATATTGTCTGTTGTAGTCTTCAGCATAACCATTTTTACTTGGCTGAGGACACATCTTCGTCTATTGATACGAACTTCTCATAAGCATTAATAAACTCAAGGGAAGTTAACTAATACTATCACTGATTGAAATTAGGGAGGTGGTTAGTGCTGACAGTCATGGTAGGGCAGGGTTGGTGTGCTGACAGTCATGGTAGGGCAGGGTTGGTGTGCTGACAGTCATGGTAGGGCAGGGTTGGTGTACTGACAGTCATGGTAGGGCAGGGTTGGTGTGCTGACAGTCATGGTAGGGCAGGGTATTGGGGCTGACAGTCATGGTAGGGCAGGGTATTGGTGCTGACAGTCATGGTAGGGCAGGGTATTAGTGCTGACAGTCAGTGTAGGGCAGGGTATTGGGGCTGACAGTCATGGTAGGGCAGGGTATTGGTGCTGACAGTCATGGTAGGACAGGGTTGGTGTGCTGACAGTCATGGTAGGGCAGGGTATGGGTGCTGACAGTCATGGTAGGGCAGGGTATTGGTGCTGACAGTCATGGTAGGACAGGGTTGGTGTGCTGACAGTCATGGTAGGGCAGGGTATGGGTGCTGACAGTCATGGTAGGGCAGGGTTGGTGTGCTGACAGTCATGGTAGGGCAGGGTTGGTGTGCTGACAGTCATGGTAGGGCAGGGTTGGTGTGCTGACAGTCATGGTAGGGCAGGGTTGGTGTGCTGACAGTCATGTGAGGAATACTTACGTCTGACGCGGGTAGTGATGGAGTCATGGATGAGATCATGTGGGTACTCCTGAAGAATAAACAAGAGAGCATTAACCACCCAGCATAAATAAATCTTTACATAACAAAATATCTTCATTCATCTTTCAAGATATAAGAAAAAAGTAAGGTGACAAGGTGCACTAAAGTCTCCAAGATCACCTAACACTCAGATTTCAAGAGTTGGATCCCTTGATAATGCATTACGTGTTTATATGTAACATTGTACGTTTATACTAATATAAACTAAACTGACTTACCAGAGAATAGGAAGTTCCAAAGTAGGCTTCTGAGATGACCATTTTTGTGTCTGTCGGAGTCCTCGTGTAGAGTACAGGGAACACTGGCTTGATGCGGACGATGACCCGGAAACTGTAATGATATATAACTTGTATTCCACACTTGTAATCAATATATAACGTTTATATGTAACTTTTAAAACTGCCAAAAAACTCGTAAGGTTCAAGCGTTATCAAGTATTTACACCAGACGGCTATTATATATATATTGCACCGGGTGTTGGATGCTGACCTTGACTGTGCACTGTTTCTGTCTCGGATGCTACTGGCTTACTGAATGTGAACGGGTTGCTGCTGCCTTATATACGCATCCCGCCGCTTGTTTCCGGTTTCCTAGTGTACTGGAAAATCCCTGCCCACCTTTAGTATGCCGGGTCCCATTCAAGAAAACTAAATTTTTGCTGGAAGTTATCCTGCTTTTGCGTCACGGTTAAGTTCCTGCAGGCGGTATATCTCTGTTCAGAGTGTCTACTCAAGTATATGTCATATTTCATTTCTCATATATTGTGTACTATCTCGCTCAATCTTCCTCTCTTCTTGCTTTTCCCTCTTTACAATCCTCAATCCTCTTTACTTGCTCCTTTTTTCTATCCACTCTTCTCTTCTCTCTCGTAGACGTAATCACCAAAGACCGGACACATCAACCCCTGAACAAGCTCCCCAAAAACAAAAGTTTTATTGTCCATTTAAGGTGACTTCGGCATAAGCTTCCGCTGACGTTAACCATAGCGACAGGTAAATACCCTTCCCTTCTATAGTCTGGAATTCTGTAACCAGCTTCACAAGATTATCACTTGCTTAGTTAAACGAACTATGGGGTTTAGTTCCTGAACCTATTATGTGTTCTGTAACCTTTTCCACCACCGCCTACGATGCATAATAAAGACCTAAAATGAAATGGTGTTCATAGGCTTCAACCTGTTGCCAAGAACGACGGATTTTTATTATTATTATTATTTTCTACCACAGACGTGGCCAGACATTTACAATGCTAAACAGCATATATACATTTTGTTCTCTCCTCCATGGACAGGGTGAGAGATTTGTCAAACATACAGTTCAGGGATTTATTGAACAATCAACCACAGAAGGTGATTGTAGTGCTTTTAAAATGCTAGGCTAAGCTACATGTGTAAATACATAGATACACAGATTTATGTATGCTACATAAAGTGTTCGATGTGTCTTTTATATAGTGTCATTAATCCGTAATATAGTGAGAGTTCTGTATTGAGGAATTAGGCTGCGGAGTAACAAATGTAGATTATGGGTGTAGCATGGATTTATAAGTTATTTATTTTATAAATATATATATATATATATATATATATATATTATACTTTCCCTCTGTCATCTATTGTTACCGGCTCTGAGACTTGGTAAAATACTGATATTATTGATATATCAGGCTGGTCTCCTTATTGATATATCAGGCTGACACTGATTCTTTATAAGTGGTTGACATTGATTCTTTATAAGTGGTTGACACTGATTCTACATAAGTGGATGACACTAATTATTCTATATACGTGACTGACACTGATTCTATATAAGTAGCTGACACTGATTCTATATAAGTGGCTGACACTGATTCTATATAAGTGGCTGATACTGATTGCATTTCACCTTTATAAATGCACATTAATGACACTATGTAAAGATACCTTGAATACTGTTTATGTAAGACAATCATAAGTTTGTGTATTTATGTATGCAGGTTAGATTAGCATTTTAAAAGCACTACAATCACTGTCTGTGGATGATTGTTCAATAAATCACAAAACTATATGTTTAATAGATCTCTAACCCTGTCTATGGAGGACAGAAGAAAATGAATATATGCTGGTTAGCTTTGTAAATGTGTGGCCACGTCTGTGGTAGAAAATAATACAATAAAATAAAAACTGATTCTACATAAGTGGATGACACTAATTCTGTGTAAGTGGCTGACATTGATTCAAGAATTATATAAGCGGCAGAGACCATCAGCGTCCGCCTCCTGTAGTCGTGTTAATATATTAAATCATCATTGTTTTGTAATGATGGGACCTACTGGTAACATTCCAGGGGGGAAGTATCCCTGTAATAATGAGACTTACTGGGGTCATTCTAGAGAAATCGTCCCGGAAATAATGTTTGCCAGTAACGTAGAAGAAGCATTTCGTAATATTCCTGGTGAGAAGGCGACATGGCCACCAGATAAATCCCATCAAATACATGCACGCCCTTTATTAATCCTCTCGTGTACTTGTACTTGCAATAAAAATATCCAACCTACGCTCACTAGATACCTTCACACATCAACCCATTAACCTAACCCAACGTTGCTTTGAACGGGAGTTCCCAGGGGCGTCTAGGCATTTCCTCTCCTGCGAATAACGTTCACCGTTTCGTCTGGGGGAAAACACCGTCTCTTGCTGATCTGTGATTCATCTCGAGTAGTAAACTGTGATTTCCCTCAGGAGAAAGACCCCTTTTACCCATATACAGGCACAGTAGCTCACAATGCTACTCCCAGGTATGATGAGGAAAATCAGCAATGGTAAAAAGATATTACGAATATACGATATACGAATTAAAAATATACAAGATATATTTACAAAATATTAAATATACAAGATATTATACAAGATATTACAAGGTATATCGAAAAAAGATATACGAATTAAAAATTAACTAAAAAAGTGGAAGAGGACGTTAATGATAACATTGTAAAAGATACAGAAACGTTGTATAAAGATTAGTGTACAATAAATGGTCGGGTATTTATTGTTGTTTACCTGATAGAATGAAATCAACACCGCTAGGTATATATAATAAACTTCCATGCAAAACGAGCTGTGTCTATATTTCATCCAACAAAATATAGATGGTACTATGACTCGGCTTGCTTTGAGGTTACCTTGAGGTGCTTCCGGGGCTTAGCGTCCCCGCGGCCCGGTCGTCGACCAGGCCTCCTGGTTGCTGGACTGATCAACCAGGCTGTTGGACGCGGCTGCTCGCAGCCTGACGTATGAGTCACAGCCTGGTTGATCAGGCTTGGACTACAAAATTATGCATATTCTCTTAGGTAATTTTGTCCATCTGTGCTGACACTTAGGAGGGAAGTCAGTCTCAGACAGAGGAGGTCTAAGCATTTCAGCGGAATAGGCTGCGGACTATTCTTTATCTCTGACGTGTTATGTATTACTGAACAAGTTATATCTGGCTGGGGCTGGATTCTTTGTTATATCTCAGTCGTCTCTAATTGTTCAAAGCAATTTTACGGTCTGAATTTATATTAAACGAAATATTTATACAACTATGATCAAATATATTAGTTTGTATTAGTTGTAGCCTAGTCCTCTATTACATGTATTCGTAAGCAAGTGTACTATAAATGTTTGAATACTGAATTCAAAATTATATAGTACCGGAAAACTCATTGTGAGACTCAGATCTTTTCATCAACACTCACAGAATTAGAATGGGGGCCTTATTAAATGTCATTGTTTTTGCTGCTCTAGATATAGCTACTCTGAACTAAAATATCCACGCAGCACGGGTTATGGCCAAGTGCTACAAGTGCCCGCAAAAATATAGCTTTAATAAATAAAAGGCTGGGCATAACTAGATACACCTCACGCCCCTCGTAGTCACTGTTAGGTAAGGACTGGAGCTATACGGGAGAGAGTAAGGGCTGGCCGGAAGCTCCTCCGGTTGCGTAACATTAACGCCACCAGACGACACCTGTGGCATTACTTCCCCCCCTTTCCCATCCCCCTGCTCCTCTCTCCTGACGTCTATCTTGAATTTCGCTGTAGCCATCTCGCGTCATCCTTAGCGTCTCCACGGTCTGCGTCTAAGCACTGGGTAAATATGTTCCTAGAGTGTTGATTTTTTTTTGGCTCCCAGTTACGTCAAGGGAGATTCCTTTATTCGTAGATTCCTACGCGAAGTAGGGGTTTACATTCAATTCTTGTAGTATATAGTGTTTCTGCGTAGTGCTTACGTCAGCGAGGGCACGTAAAGCTGATCTCTACTCGTCTCACGTTGTCTCTTATCCAGGCTCAAACACTCAGTCCTCTGAAACCACAAGCAATTTATTTTGTTTTATATTTGTGTGTTTACCCACAAATATCTTTTCTTGTATCGTATCTGTGTACAGTGCCTCCGTCACTCTCTTGCTCCCTCCAGAGTGCTCAGCTTATATTCTCAGCGCGTTCCTCTGTACTTCAGTAGGCTCCACTCTCATACCTCTCATCTTCCATCCCTCTCAGCTCCCATATCTCTCATATCCCATCCCTTCCATCTCCCTTTCCTTTCATCTCCTACCCCTTCTATTCTTCTAAACTAAAATTTCTCTAAATTCCGGGACAAGCCTTCCTGTATGGTTCTGAGAAGTTAGTTTTAGTTTCTTCAGATGAAGGCTCCATGTTGGGGCTGTGCGTCAGAGGTCAGCTCATTTGCATGATGCATTCAGCATTCTAAAGCCTTTAGTATCAAGCTTCACGAAGGCTATTGAGACATTCGGCAGTTTTGTGTACCTGCGATTGTTATTTAGATTGCACAATAAAATCACAAAAGGATGATAAATCTTTTATTGTTATAAATATTATTATTTAGCAATGAAGTGGTCTGGGAAGCAAGTTTATATCCATTATACTGTAAATATGTAGCTCTTGTAATAGCACTTTCTCTGCAACTAGCTGACATTGTATCTATAAGGTGTGAAGGATTGAAGAAATTGTTTATGTAATAATCTAAGATGAGGTCTGATAAAGACCTTTTGTGCCCTCTGTAATGCTTTAGCGCTACCGCTCACAGGATGAGTATGGGGTGCACAATAAACTAGCCGCCTTCGGCGGCAACAATCAATCAAATCCATTATATTGCTATCAATTTTGTTATTGTTATTCAACTTATGTGAGAAGTTACATCGATCCTTATGCCCTTCTCTTGTACTATCAGTGTAAGGTGTCTTCTCTTCAACCGGGTTTGTTCCTGGGATGTCTTTCCTCTGCGCCAATCTTCATTACATTGCAACTGCCAGGATTAAATTTAAGCAGCCTTTTTTCAGACCATCTCTGAAGTTTATCAAGATCCTCTTGAATTCTGCCATAGTTCCACCTTCGTCTTGGCAGTTATCATTAACTTGACGTAGTCTGTAAAAGGAGCACATAGGAAAGGGAGGAGTCAATGTAGGGTAGATATAGTGGGGATGGAGGGGAGATATAGTGGGCAGGGAGGAGACAATGTAGGGGAAATATGGAGGGCAGGGAGAAGACAATGTAAGGGAGATAGAGTGGGGGAGGGAGAGGGGAGACATCTTCAAGATTATCTGTGGCCACACCTTCATGTAACACATACAAGGGGCAACAGCTTCAAGCTCAACCAGCCACAATATAAGACAAAATATCAGATGTTTTTTACCCATAGGGTTGTAAACCCATAGATTCCTCTCTACCCACTGAAGTCGTAAATGTCTAGTTGAAAAATAAATTATCAGCAATAATAGGATACAGTTTACAAGCCGGCGTTTTTTTCCCCTGTTAAGGGGTGTATCGAGAAAGGGGGACCCCCTCAGGTTAAATTAAATAATTATAATTTTAAGAGAATCCCCTGCAACCATCCATGCGACGTTTTTTAAGCACAATAAAGTCTAAAGAGAACGTCAGGAACGGCAGGACTTGAAAATTTCAACCTTCGCTTATCACACTTGTATATAAAGACTCTATAGACTATAAACACATGTAAGATACATGTGGCCTATATAGGCCACAGATACATGTAAAGTAATATGTAATAGTCGTGTTATAGAGATTACATGTAATTACAGTGATTTTAATATGTTCCATAATTAGGCTACAGGAATCTACTTACCCGAAACAGTGCTTGACTTTACCCATGAGCTAGGCGCTTCTTTTCCTCAATGTCTTCGTGAGAATGAAATAAATACTGTCAAAACAAAAGGTTAAACTGAACCCATCAACATTGGAATTGTATGAATGCCCCGACAGACTAGTGTAATTGTATGAATGCCCCGACAGACTAGTGTAATAAATCGATACACCCCATTTATACGTAGAGACCTTACTTATTGTTCTGACTGGTATTAAATCCACAAGGAACTGGAGTGAAGCCTTCAGGTATTAATAAACAACAGGTACACGAATAGAGAAGTCAACACCCATATCAGAAGATATTTAGAAAAATGGTATAACATACCTCCCATAAACTATTATAAAAACCATTATGAGCTCTTTTTAATGGCAGAATTTAGCCATTTTGCGTAACAACTTTTATCATATCTCATACTTTTTAATTATCATAGTAATAGATCAATTCATATTTTAGATATACAGTACAAGAGATGAAACAGAAAGCCATAAACTAGATCACTGTACTGAACGCTTCTGATGACGTCAATAAGGAGGCGGAGCTTGTAGCCAATACCTTCCTGTGATGGCTGTTACAGGGAATGTCAACACTCTTTCTATGAATGAAATGCAAACTAAGAAATACGTCCTTTGGTACAACCTCTTTGTTTTGTATCTGACAGGAATTTCCATGTAAATGAATAATGTAGTCCAATAAGAGGGCGGAGCATTGTATCATAGATGTTATTTGTGGGAGGCAACCCCCACTGATGACGTCACAAGCTAGGTAGCCAGGGCCATTTTTCCATTTATATTGTTATACCTGTTACATCCTACAATATATAATTATCACTTTATTGATGCTTTTAAAAAATTAACACTTCACTTTTAGGTATATTAAATTTAAAGCAGAATGTCATAAACAGGCTTGGTGTTCTGAACAAAAATGATTTATTAAATGGGATGGAATCTTTAGCTGATCCGCTCCTGTGATTGGGTGTTGTGGCGAATGTCAACAAAGAATATCTTCCAATGATATACAAGCGCAGGAATTCTTACTTCAGCTGAAAAACCCGCCTTATGGGCTGCTGTTCGGCTATTGATAGTGCAAGGGCGACGCACTAGATGTCGCTAGTTGTATTTTGAAGGGTGGCTTGTTAATAGTGCAATTTGATGTCAACAGATGGCATAAGCTGTATCTTACGGCTACTGTTGACTAGGGTGTTGATAGTGTTCTTTTCTGCCGACAGATGGCATCACAAGTATTATTACTTCCGAATTACCTTTAAACACTGATCTATATAGAAAATGTAGATGTTTATCCCTCAGAATGTTCAGTAATATGTTTATTGATTGTGATGTGTGTCTATGTATGTATTAACACGATGTACTGAACGGGTTGAGAATAGCTTGAGCTACCTCATCCCTTTGTGTGTATTTTACCTCAATAAACTTATTTCAATTTCAATTTCAAGACAGGAAAGCCTTTTTATTCATTAAATTGTATGACAAATGTAAAAAAATTTCACTTACATATTATTTGAAGACATGCGCTAATTGTATGATCATGTGCCATCTATTTATTCATATTCGTAACTTATTAGTATGCCCAACTGACGGGCAGCCATTGGGTCAGTTTTGAACTATTGAAAAGCCAGTTGAATCCAGACCTTCGTGGAGGTGAGACGTGTCACTCTGCTGCCTTCTACTGCCCCCTCCCTCCCTCCCTTCCAAGTTTGACCTTATTGTCTCATTAGCCTTGTTTACCTTTTGATTTCATAAGAGTACAATTATCTAGATTATATCAGGAGTAGTAGATAGAGGTTAATCTTCATTTAGTGTTAAACATTTCTGACCACTTTTTAGTTATTAGTGTCTTGCGTGCTTAATGCAATGCAAGACTCACAAGTATGCAATGTAAGACAAGTATGCAATGTAAGGCACACAAGTATGCAATGTAAGACAAGTATGCAATGTAAGGCACACAAGTATGGAATGCAACTCACACAAGTATGCAATACAAGACGCTCACACAAGTATGCAGTGGAAGACGCTTAATGCAAGTATGTCGGGTTTACCATTTGTAAATGGCAGAACATTATACTCGTGCTTTAATTTGTCACATCTATGAGTAGTTAAGTTTACTCTCATAATATTCCTTGTTTAAGGTTATTGTCTCCATTTACCTCTTGCTTTTATTATGTTTTACCAAATAAACGCTGACCTAATTATATTTTGCGTGTCTAACGGGCTAATAGCTTAGAAATCGACAGGATAGTGGTCTATGTCCTCGACTCACAGTATCTAAATGTAATTTGGATAAGAAAAAAAGTAGGAACTAAGTCGTAACATTATTAATAGACCAATATTATTCTGGAGGTGGGGCTAGGAGCCAAGCTCGACATTTAGGTGAGTATGTGTTTGGGATTTCCACAACACATGATAGCCTAAGTAAGATGGATCTCTTGAGGTGTTCCAAGAACACTTTAAGGAGAGAGGAAGAATGTTGAGCATTGATACGAAGATTGAGAGGAGGATGAGGATTGGGAGGGGGAGGGGGGGGGCAGGCTACTTGAAGGGGGCCAGGCCGAGGGTGATATATGGATGTAGTGTGGTGAGAGGCCAAAGGCTATGTAGGTGTTATTTAATTTGACTAAAATTGAAGTTTGATACACAACACTGTACACTTATTCAATCCATAATTGTGACAATTTGATTAAGTTACGAATAAAGTTCATATTTCCTGCAAGCTCTCCCTGGCTCCCATAACCTAGGACCTACCACTCTTTTTTTCTTCATAAAATGAACAAATATCAAATACAGTCATACTTGGAGTAATCAATTAGTAACTCAATGCATTCCTCTGCAGATAGTCATAATATAACTTTGATAATTAATCATTACATATTATAATGTGAGCTAGCTACATGTTTAGTCTTTGAATAGCCACACTGAGCAGAGGGCGGGACCCATTTAGCTGTTCTGCCTCAGGTCCCAAACACAGGCCCCGCTGGTCCTCACTGTTCACTCATGTGAGTATTGCTTGTGAGGTGTGTGAGTATTTATGACATGAGTATTTGTAATGGTGTCAGTAAGGTTATATCCAGTATGTTCTACAACTTCTGGGTTATTATATCTCATGGGTAGGCTGAGTTGAACTGTGGCATAATGGACTTATATGTCCTCGGCTCAAACCCGCTCGACAGAAACGGATGGGCATGTTTCCTTTCACCGGATATGTGTGTTCACCTAGCAGTAAATAGTTCTCAGGAGTTAGGCAACTGTTGTGGGTTGCAGTCTGTATAGGGTCATAAGTATGTAGCCTAGTGGGTACTCGATAAGCTTATATAACAGGGTTCCTGTTAGGCTTATCCTGCTGCGTTTTAATTATTATATATTTTGTTTTCGTGATCTGTGCTCTGTGTTGATGTCTCTTCTATTCTAATAGTTCCCGTTTCTGTAGCTTCTGCTGTATCATTCACTGCTATTCTAATGTGACTTAGTACCCTTTTACTAAGTATTTGACGACGCTGACGTTTTAATGTATGCATTGATGCTAAAATTTCATGTTTAGTCGGATGTTGTCATGATCATATTCGTACAGCAAGGTAATCAAATTGGAAACCATGAGTTAGTCCTAACGCTTGGAGGTTATATGACGGAGAGATAGACAGATTTTTTTATTATTATTATTTTCTACCACAGACGTGGCCACACATTTACAATGGTAACCAGCATATATACATTTTCTTCTGTCCTCCATGGACAGGGTGAGAGATTTGCCAAACATACAATTCAGGGATTTATTGACCAATCAACCACAGACGGTGATTGTAGTGCTTTTAAAATGCTAGGCTAACCTACATACGTAAATGCATAGATACACAGATTTATGTATGCTACATAAAGTGTTCGATGTGTCTTTTACATAGTGTCATTAATGTGCATTTACAAAGGCGAAACGTAACTGATCAGCTTCCACATATACTTTACACACATACATACACACATATATACATATATACACACACATACATTTGTCTCTCTTACTCTGACAGGGTGAGATAGCTGACAGCGAAGCTAGTGTGCAATTAAGAACTTAACCACTGAAGGTGATTAAGTTCTCAAGGAGACAGACGAACGCGGGGAAAGCCGGGTACCCCCCTAGTGTGTGTGTGTGTGTGTACTCACCAATTTTATATTATACTCACCACACACACACACACCACTGTGTATGTGTGTGTGTGCGCACGCGTGGATGAAGGAAAATGTAACAAGAAATTACTGGAGTGCTAATGTGTACCTCACCACATAAAATTTAATTTCTTGTTACATTTTTCCTTCGTGGTTATACATTTTCACATAATTCATCGCATGTTAATTTCTTCGTGATTTACACAAACTATTCAATTCCTCCAGTAATCTCCACGTATATTCTGAAGACGAGTATTTGCTTCATTTGGCAACGCTGAGGAGGCCGCGGGGAAAGGCGGTGAACCTCAGTGCTGTCTGAGACATCAATGGGTGTGGGTGTGCGCTAGCGTCTCCAGGTGCTGTGGTGTGAGGGAGGTACAAATACTAAGATCCGGTTTCCACTAGACTAAAACATGTGGAGTCGGGGCTCGAACTCAGGGCCTCTCGTATGCGGGCGTTATACCGCTTGTTAGTGCTAACAATTGCCATATACTTGCATAAAGCGGGGTAAGTCGTGACTGCTATAAGTGTGTGAGGATGCAGAAATGCTTGAATAAATGTAGGCAAGCACTAATGTTAGTAAATATGTTGCAAGCACTAATTTATATATTAGTACTTGCAAAAGATCGTGAGATGAGGTAATGTCTGTGTTGTATTTGATATATATCGTGCATAGTAGTGGCATCAAGTAGACGGCTTTATTAAGTGACTTAAAGATGAGAAATTATAAAATATCGTATAATTCATACAATCGTTCACACATATTCATGTGAATTTTGTGCTAAGAAATTATGTATCCCATATAAGTGCTTAAGTTGATAAAAATAATTACGTTCAGTGAGAGCACTCATGATTGTGTAAGTCAGGTTATAAGTGCCAGTTTGTACACACGTGAGGTGGCAGCTAGACAACAGGAGATGCCCATCACAACACCTGTAGAAAGGTGAGGTGTTAAGCATGTATAATAATTAGATCGACTTGAGAATGGTCTAGGACGGACCGAAACATCGTCGTCCCTTCAATTTCTTGTGTGTGGATTGATCAACAATATACTAATTATTTAGGTAAAAGTACATACATACAAAATAAGTTACAAAGATAATGTTGGATTTCTAGATAAACCTAATATATACTATGCCTAATACGTACAGCGTTTCTGGCAAGATTTGAAGAAAACAAATCTGGTGCCTGAAAAAAACATGTGCCTAAACAGTTGGTGGAGCAGGTGTTTACCTTTTATTATTATTTTTTCACCTAGATGAGGTGGTTGACCTGCTTCACCAAGCCAACTGGTGAGGTAGTCAAGCAGGTGAGTGGCCCGGCCAAGCTCCCCGAGCCACGTGTTTGTCCTGATAGTGGTGAGCCGGGCCAGCTCATCATGCTACAGACTCGTTTGTTCTCTGAATGGGACCTTGTAAAGGGTTGGTTGATACTAGCAAGTTTATACGTACTGGCTGAACGCCTTGTCATAATCATTTACTACCCTCGGTCATCACTCTACACGTCCGAGTGAAAATCTTCGATGTGCTACACATGAACTCCCAGGAGATAATCGTGAGTAACTAAGATCTCTGGTATTGACAATGTGAGTAACCGAGCTTTCAGGCGGAGAGATTGTGAATAATCACAACCTTTATAAACAAGGCCATGAATTACCAATCCCTTTAGGTTATTAATATCTTGTAATAAGATCACGTAACATCAAGGTCTTTGGCAGTAAATTTTGTCATCGGGATTCATAGCAGTAATCTCCAAAGTTCTGTGCAATCAAGATTGCTGTTCTTCAACACCTCGCAAAACGTTTGTGAACTATCGATATTCATCAAGTCCTCGCAGAACAGATGTGATCCATCGAGCTGTATGACGGTGATTGTGTAGGCTGCTCTTATCTATGGTAGCAAGCAGTACAAACCCTAAGATCTATCCATGGCAGCAAGCCATTAAATCTGTGACATTAAATCACAAGTCGCTAGCCACCAAGAGCTACTGTAGCCAGTTCGATTCATCTTCGAAGCAAAACCTCACGTCATTAAGCAACTTTATTGTCAGATTGTACGTGAATAGGCTCTGTTTCTGTGTGACCGTAAAGTTTGATCCATATGACTAATCTGACACCACTGTGTGGGGGTCCATGTGACTAATCTGACCCCACCGTGTGGGCCATGTGACTAATTTGACCCCACCCAGTAAACCGAGATCTTATATTCGATGTCATGTAAATACTGTAGCTACAACTAGTCAGAATTCTGCGGAGTTGACGTTCTTGTAGCAGTACGTTGCTGTTATGATGTGTGTGATTAAGACCAACAGTTGCATGCAGATAACATAACTACCCAGTCTTTTTCTTGTTTTACATAGCTATCTCTCCTCCCCAACCATCATCCACCCTTCCCCCAGCCTAACCCTCAACCCCACTGTTTCTCCCTCCCACCTTGTTCCCCCTGTAGCCTAACCCTCAACTCTGCTGTCTCCATCCCCCCCCCCCCCTCCCTCTTCAGTAACAAGAGGGTGCTGGCACCTTGACTGACGTGTCTATATTATGCAACCAAGCACCAAATCTCATCTGGCTCTGTTGCTAATACCATAAACTTATTTATGCTGTATATGTACGTAATGATATTCAGTATATAATCAAGGTACTTAGTTCAGAAATAGCGGGAAAGTAGTGATGGGTTGTGAGGTCCCTAACCATTTGAAAGAATGAAAAACAATTTTATTTTTAAGCGGCATCTCTTATGAACCTATTCCTGCCCTTGTGTGGCAATGCACAATACACACACACAATATATGTGTGTGTGTGTGTAAATCACGAAAATTAACACGTGATGAAAAATGTGAGTTTCAGACCACGGAGGAAGAATTGAAACAGGAATTTCCTTAAGTACTTTCGTATATTAATACATCTCTAGAAGGAATTAATATACGAAAGTACTTAAGGAAATTCCTGTTTCAACTCTTCCTCCGTCGTCTGACACTCACATTTTTCATCGCGTGTTAATTTTCGTGATTTACACACACATATATATATATATATATGTGTGTGTCTGCGTGTGTGTGTGTGCGCTTCAGCCTACAGTTTAGACCTATTGTCTGTGTATGATGCTTTGTCCTGTGTGACAGTGAATACCAGCTTTATCCTCACTCTAATAAGAGCTAATTGAATTACTCAGATGAGGCAAAGTTGTAATTCATTTTTGTCAATAAAGTTGTTAATAATAAACGAGCAAAATGGACGATGGTTACTGAGACAGGCCCTGGGGAGGGCGCCACGAGGCTACAGGCAGACAGCTCAGCTTCTGGGGTGTCTCATCAGAGCATAGGAGCCACACACTCACAGTAACTCTACACTGCAAGTAGTCTAACTAATCCTGCCCATACAGAACAAGATAATGTATATGTGTGATGATTACTATTGTAAATGAATGGCAAGTAAATCAAGAAAACACCTCCTTTCTAAAATAGTGTTGTGTGGCATTGTATCGGAGTTGTGAAGAACTAAAAATAAAAAAAAGGGTGTTAATAAGGAACACATTTCTCTCCTGCGCACAAGTTTAACCTTGACATTTACGATCATTTCTCAACCATTCTGTAAATATTTTCCTAAATCATTGGCCAGCGTACCCGACAAACTTCGCCAACAAGTCATTTTTATTTTAATGTCTAATATAGTCTTAAAGCTCTAGTTATCTATCTTGGCACGTGTCATACTTTCAGTAGTAGATATTATATACGAGTTTCTTCATGCAGCAGCTTGTCAGCTGGTCTAGTCTGTACACATTATTGTCCGTCTGGGCCTGGCTTTGGTCTCAACCTGCAACCATAAATAAGTGTTATGATATCTTTAAATAGCTCCTCTCTCTCTCTCTCTCTCTCTCTCTCTCTCTCTCTCTCTCTCTCTCTCTCTCTCTCTCTCTCTCTCTCTCTCTCTCTCTCTCTCTCTCTCTCTCTCTCTCATGCTCTCTCTCTCTCTCTCATGTTCTCTCTCATGCTCCTTCTCTCTCATGCTCCCTCTCTCTCATGCTCTCTCTCTCATGCTCTCTCTCTCTCTCTCTCTCTCTCTCTCTCTCTCTCTCTCTCTCTCTCTCTCTCTCTCTCTCTCTCTCTCTCTCTCTCTCTCTCTCTCTCTCTCTCATGCTCTCTCTCTCTCTCTCATGTTCTCTCTCATGCTCCTTCTCTCTCATGCTCCCTCTCTCTCATGCTCTCTCTCTCATGCTCTCTCTCTCTCTCTCTCTCTCTCTCTCTCTCTCTCTCTCTCTCTCTCTCTCTCTCTCTCTCTCTCTCTCTCTCTCTCTCTCTCTCTCTCACACGCTCTCTCATGCTTTCTCTCTCAAGCTTTCTCTCTCTCTTTTCCTAGTTTATTTGAATACCAGTTGCCGAGGAGGGTCTATCGACTAAGCAATGTCTGATGCAAATAAAGTGGGAGAGGAGTCTGCATATTCTTTTAGACTAGAGCAACGTGATACTAAGAAAAATCTCCATCTCGCAGGATGGTTAGTCAGACAGAGGCCATGTGATCAGTAGCCTGCACTGGCAAACCTTGGCTACGTTATGAAACATTACCAACCAGACATTAAACATGCAATCCATAAACTGAGTAGAAACGTCAATTTTCTCTTTGATTTTGTGAGGGACAGTTTAAATGTGTAAGTTTAATTTTTGTGATTTAATATCAGTCTCGACTCACCCATGTTGCTGGGGGGGAAAACTGGATGAACCTTATCCAATACGTCTGGCTCCAGACTCTCACATTTATATATATATATATATATATATATATATATATATATATATATATATATATATATATATATATATATATATATATATATATATATATATATATGGCTAAAGAAATAAGAAATAAGGCTAAAAACCAAACTTAAATATTCCCAGGCCTAGTATAGCACATATAGGTACTATATTAGGCCTTAGCAAACGTGTATTAGGCCTAGAGAGTTTAAATTAGGTTAAATTTTCTTTGCAACATCATTACAAAAACTTTTCTGGTTTGTCCACATTCAATAGTACAATAGATTTCTACTTTCTAATTGCCTTTTACGTCAATATATGTACGACGGTCGTCATCGTTACTGTAAGTACTACCTCAACAGGAGAATGGGCAGGCGATGAGTCACAATAACGTGGCTAAAGTATGTTGACCAGACCACACACTAGAAGGTGAAGGGACGACGACGTTTCGGTTCGTCCTGGACCCATTCTCAAGTCGATTGTGGACCGGACCGAAACGTCGTCGTCCCTTCATCTTCTAGTGTGTGGTCTGGTCAACAGGAGAATGGGGTTGTGTACCTTTTAGCCTACATCACCTCATGCGAAGCTTGCACATAGAAACTAATATTATGATTTCTATATGATTTATCATAGTTATATATGACTATATGATTATCACAGATTATCACCCCTGCGATTATCACAGATCACAGTAATATCATTACTAATATGATTTCTTCTCACCTCTTTCTTGCCTATTTATTGCCTTTAATAATTTC